TATTCAAAGAGATGAAGAATGGAGTCAGAGACAAGCAGCGACGTTTGTGCCTAGAAAACGAGTAGGATGGCAAAAATGTAAAGAAGGTTAAGTGTGATGAGAAATAGAGCAGAAGGAAAAAGGAGCAAACTTTCAGGGAAAAGATTATTCTTTTTGACATTTTGAATCTATGAAATCAGCTTCTGGAGATGTTCAAGTCAAGGGTATGAAATGGGATTAGGCAAAAGGTCAAGTCCAGAGATAAAGGTTTGGGGATTTGCTCATGCAAGGAAGAAAGCTGAAGTAATGAATATGTAAGATTGCACTTACTAAAAGAAGGCTGCTGAAGAAACAATCTTGGGGAGTTATGACATATGAAGGCTATGCAGAAAAGAGTGGGAGAGTCTGCTAATGGCTTCTCTTTCTTCCTTAGGATGAGCCTGTTTTGTGAGGGGAAGCAGTGTACCCAGCTGAAAAGCTCCATTACTTTGCTTTTCTTGCAGAAGGGGAAGCCAATGAGATGTAGGCGGAAGTCTTAGGGTACAGTTTCTGGGAAAGCTTGTTAAAGGAAAACAGATTAGGTGGTAGGCAAATGCTATTTTACTCTTCTTTACTTTCAAGCCTGGAAGTAAATGTAATGGCTAGAGCTACATTAGCAATAAAGAAGTAACTTTAAAGAGCCTGGAACATTAATTACAATGCGAAGCCATCGTAACAGCCCTAGACTGCCTACTTTCAGATTTATCTTGCATTAAGTCATTATTACTTAATCTTTGATTCCTAGCAGCCAAGTCCCATTCTTAACTCAATGTTTTCCTCAACTTTCCCCACTATGGCACACATAGTAAATGAAAAAATATATCGTCTGGGGGAAAGTGAGTGGGGAACCAACTCCACAGGTGCCACCTAGAAGCCAACAGGACAGAACTAACTACTATCTCAGTATTTTAAAACCCATCTGGAACTTCTGATTTAATGAACATGAGGAAGAGGGGCTGACACGAAATAAAGAGAATAGCCAATTAGAAAGAGAAATGAGGAGATTTAGGGAAGTGCAATATGACAAAGGCAAGAGAGGAGAGTTTCAAGAATAAAGAAACAGTAGAGGTTATAAAAGTCTAGGACTGAGAGAAAACCTTTGGGAAATAGATGATCATTGGTTTGAGAAAAGTTTCCGTAGCAGAAAGAATCTGATGGCAACATGTCACATGATACTGTGCACGTAAAAAGAGACTGTAAACTTCACTAGCAAGTAGTCAAGAGAAGGGAAGAGGGCAGTAGTTAAAAGTGGAAGCAAGTATGAGGACAATATTTTCACTGTACAGAAGTGTTGCAGAAGGGAATAGTTTAAATAGAGGGAAGAAGAAAGAGTAGATAAAATTCATGGTATAAAGTCTCAAAGAATCTTCAGATAAGGAGAGAACAAGAAAATAATAGGTCAGATAGAAAAATACATTTTAAGAAAGAGAGAAGGGACACTGAGGGGACTCAGGTGGGTGGCTTTGATCTTAATTGTTTCAGTGCATGAAGAGAAAATGAACTGGGCTAATGAATTTTGAGAATGAAGTATTGGGGAATATGAATGTAACAGATGAAGGGACTGCTAAATAGTACTGCAAGCTTGGCTATGTCATCTAACATATACTTACATCAAAACCAGCTAGGTTTTACAAATTCTTGTACTTATCAGTCGAGAATCAGGAGTTTAAAAATGGGAGGTGGAGATTTCCTGAATTTGAGACTAGCAGGGTGAGTAGTTTCATTTTTGTTGAAACAAAACTATAAAACAAGAATATAATGGAAATTTCACCACTGGTATTAGTATATTGCAGTTTTCACTCTCATTCTCATGATTGAAATGAACAATTTCATTTTCAAGATGTGATAGTCAATGAGTATTGGATGGATCCATGCTGATTCCAAGGTTTAAGTCATAGATTCTTATAACTTAAAAGCTGGATAGGTCATTATCGGTCACCTAGTTCAATTTCTACTTAAGAAACAGGTAGCTAAGGCCTACAGAAGTTAAGGAACTTGCCAAATGTCAGGGGTATACAGGTCTTCTGATCTTTCACTCCAGTGCTCTTTCCACTATACCATAAATTCTTCCAGAGAGCACATCTGCCAAAGTATAACACATCACTAGTGATGGCCTTCCTGTTAATGCTGTACCTAAAAAGGAGAACCTATAGCATCTCCTAGAATTCTCATCTGAAGTTAGCCTTTGTTTTTCTTTAAAACACCATGGAAGCAGGTAAACAATTTTGCCTCAGCCAAAGTATGTGGTTTGTCTTAAGGCTTCTTACACATTGTTCTAGGACCCTGGGGTTAAGTAAGGCTTGTGAACCAGGAATGGACTCGGGACCTGTTATTTAGATTTCAAGTGAGGTAGGACAAAGCAAAATCAGGTGGAATCAGACCTCTGCATAAGTGCTAAGAATAAGCCTCCAAAAAACACAAAAAACAAAAAACAAGGGAAGCATTTCAGATTACTACACTTGGATCTTTGTTAATAGTGCTAAGGTTGAGCCCAGTCAAAGATCTTTACTGTGCTGGCTCAATTATGACTACTTAAAAAAGAGATGGGATCTGCAGGAATTTTAAAATGCCTCCAAGGTAAGGTTTATAGTGAAAGAGAGGGAAGAAAGGAGCAATGCTGCAAGACAGGTAAGCCAAGTACTCAGGAAGAACTGAGGCCGTGCCCCCGACACCTGTTCTCAGCAAGGTGGCTCAGTTCTACGGGGACCTCTGGTTCTCCACTCCCCTGAGGCCAAGCATTCACAGCTTCTTCTCTAAGCTTTGAGGGTTTTTCCATTTGCAGACAGTAGTTTCACAGGCAAAGAGATAGACAGAAGTACAAACAGTCAGGCAGAAGGCAAAAAGCCTAGAGAGCTGGAAGGATTAAAAAAATATATATCTGTATACAGTTCTTATTATTAATGTGAGGACTAGACTTTAGAGATCTGCAGAAAATGATCTTTGTAGGCAGTTTCTTATTAACTGAAGATAGTAAGGAATGTGTACCAACTCTGATCCCAATTCAGACCTCTGCCAACTGACAGTTCAGGTGAAGGTCCTCTGGGATGACCAGAAAGCAAAAGTATCTAACTGCAAAACTGTTTCCTTTCCTTTGGGATTTAAGGAAAGGAAAGAAGAGAAGTACTTATCCCTAAAACACAATATAGTGAGTGGGAAAAAATATGGTATTAAACCTAAGAGAACTAAAAATCTTACAGATTTAAATGAGTGTGATCTCAAACCTGGTGAAAGTAGTATTTGTTTTGAGTTGCAGAGAAGGAATAGAATTTTAGAAAGTATTTGACATGATTTCTAAATTCAAACAATATTATATTATCTATTAGATATAATATATATAAGATATAGAAATAACAATGATGGGATGCAAACACTGATTAATTCGAATAGTTACTTTTGAGGGCCTACTATAGGTGGCTGGTGTTAAGTGTTGGGAATTCAGTGGTGAGCAAATAGAGTGAGTTCACAGATCTTCTAAAACAGTAGAAGAGATAGACATTAGTAGAAAAATATAATTATATACAAAATTGCAAATTTGGGGATAAGTAGTGTGAAATAAAATAAAGGAAGCATTAAAAGTATACAACAGGGGAACTTGGTAAATAAGCTGCCAGTTATAACCAGAGAGCCTTTCAGATCAAGTAATTTACCAGAAAAAAAAAAAAAACCTGTGCTAACATACCCCTGGCAGGGAGGGAGAACAGGGATTCCCAGGAGAGTAAAAGGGTTATTCTCACTTTCTTTCAAATTTTTCATCAAGTTAGCGTATATGAAAAGCATCTTGCCCTCGAAGAAAAGTTTGCCTATCATAAAGATGGGTAGAATAAGCAGGCAGGAAATTCATGTCTTCTATCTTCAATATATTGAAGCAACAGGCCCCAAAGGTTGCTTGGTGACAGCTGGATATGTCTGTCATTCCAACAGAGCTGTGGGATACATATATGTCTGTCATTCCAACAGACTCTGGCTGTTCAGACATTTGGCCATAGGCAGATGACATTTAAAAAATCACAGATAGCCACTTGTGATTTCTAGATGATATATTGTATATTCACATCCAGAGTCAGCCTTTAGAATCAACCACTCTCTCCACTGTTTCTTCATCAGTTTTTAACACAATAGGATTTTTTGGCACTGGGGGCAGGGGGGCAGGGCATTACGGTCTCAGGCACCAATAAAATTGTGTCAGTGATGCTATTCTGAAAGCCGCAGAATATATATACTGCGAATGATGAGAAAGCCAAGGACACAGAATTCTTGTGTCACATCAGTGTCTACTCTATGATAGACTTTAAATATTGACTCTCAAGAAAATATTCAGAGAAACAAACTTTTATTACAATGACCAGAATAAAATTCCTGAATTTCCATGGGCAGACTGATAAGATAGCTTATGACAGTCATAGCTAATAAGCTATGCTCCTCTGGGCCTCTATAAACATCTCAGAGTGGGGAGGCTTTGTATGTCTGGTTACTGATACAGAACCTGAAGGGACTCTAAGGCCCAGCCTCTCTAAGCACACGTACTTTGACAAGGACTTGGATTATTTATAAAAAGAATGTATTGCTGAAATCAAATTGCCATAGACAGTACCAAGGGATCTGAAATACCTGGTTAAGTCCTGTGATCTATTTTTTCAGGTTTACAAACTTCCAAAAGAGAAGTTCTGTTCTGAGGTGCCAATGGAATACAAAGGAAGTCTGGAAGGTAGCCTTGGCAGCAGCACCCTATAGTAAGCCAACTGCTTAGTGGATGCCTGCAAACAAGACCATGTAAACATCTCCCTGTTGTCTATGCCAATAAAAACTACACTCTCTAGAAGCTAGACAATTTTACTAGTAAGTTTACTGTAATTCCCAGTAAGTATCACCAGCAATCTATGGTCACCTGAGACCCCTAGTAAATACCTGGTATTACTTACAGCAATAAGCCCCTGTTGGCAGAAGCACCTTGAGAAGGGATAGGAAAGCCACAAAGCACTTACCATCTTCTGTTTCTTGCCACACGATGCCCTCAAGGTTGACGCTTGTCCCAGGTTCACAGGGGCCAAGGCACTCAGGCTCTGTGGCTAGGGCCACATCACATGTGTTGACCCCGACCGATCGCGTGCGAACCATAATCTGCTCACAGGGGGATGAGATGTCATTACTGACCATTGGCACCAAAAGGTGCAGTGGCAGCACTGCTGGTGTGGAGACAGGGGACTCCATCTGTGGGGGAAGAGAAAGTAGTAGTTGAGTTGCAGGGAGAACAGGTGGAGGAAATACATTCTCTGTATTTAATCTAGTCCTATATCCTTTCCTGCCAGAATATAGAGGGACCTAAATATAAGACTGATCCTTCAAGTTCTAGCTCATGATACCACTACAGAATCAAGTAGTTTAGATGACTGCACCCTGTGGTAGGAGAAGCTCTCTTATTAACCATCTTCTTCTCAAACTGTGCTTGGCTGAACATGTATAAAAAATCTTGTCTCATTTATAAATCTCTAGCAAAAGAAAATCAGGGCCAGATTTCAGTAGTAATAGAGCACACAGATTGATGGGAGAGAAAAGGCCCAGCTTCTCAGGAATGTTCTACTGCCACTACTATGCTTCCAACCAATTCATCGTTCAACAAATAATACATTAAACAGGTATAAAATCCAAGAATATGGGTAGGGATAAGGAGAGAAATACCCAAGACTAGGGATGCCAGTGCAAGGAGGTTTTAATTCATCTTTAGCTAGAAGGAAATCACCTTAGAAGTTATAGGAAGGTTAGGAGTGGGTAGGTCCAAGACTAGGGATGCCAGTGCAAGGAGGTTTTAATTCATCTTTAGCTAGAAGGAAATCACCTTAGAAGTTATAGGAAGGTTAGGAGTGGGTAGGAGCAACTTGATAGGGATTTCCAATCCTCAGAGATTATAAAAGTGATTGTTTAATGAGAATGGCATTTTGGAATGTGAATCTAACATCGAATTTATCTGTAAGAAACAGGAAGTGCTATAAAAAAATTAAATTAAAAAAAAATTTTAATTTTTAAAAATTAAAAAAAAAAGTAACAGGAAGTGCTGTTACTATTCAGAAGCCAACCCATAGCAGTCAGCAGATGAAGCTGATTATGCACACACAAAAATAGTTGAACCCAAGGGCCAGCAATCTACCTCCAAAACTACAACTTCTCACCAGAATGCAATTACTTAGATTTCAAGAAGAATGCAACACATCTAGAGTTAGAAGAAAAGTTGTAACAGAGGCAGTAATAATTCCTTAACTCTTTAAATCCTAGCACTTATTAGGTTGACAAAGTACTCTATAGTGCCCAAATTTTAACTGAACACAGTGCCTGGCATATGTAGAGGCATTCAATACACTTGATCTTCCCTGAAGATTTAAGTATCATACCAATCAGTAGATCTAGAAAATGAATCAAGACTCTTCCCCTGACTTTTTAGTCCAGGTTGAATGTACTACCTTAACAAACCTACATTCAGAGAGCTACACATGCATTCATATTCCAAGCTGCTGGACAGCTCTGTAACATAACTGGTTCTGGAATAGTTTATTGCATGACTACCACTATACCTATAATTGTCCTCCCACCTCTTAAATACACACACATATGCATACACACATACTTTCCTTGACTATTACTCTAGAACTGAGAGCTGGGTATTGCATTCATCCTCTGAAGTTAGCTAGGACTCACTCCTTGGCTTACTATTTGTGGTAAATAGTAATATAAATTACATATAACATATATAATTTAATATAAATATATGTATATATAAATCACTGTATAAACACTGTAAAAACACAGTAATATAAATCACTGCTATTTGTGGATCATCACTGTTGGAGTCCATAGAATGTTAATGTTCTGATTCTGATTAATTGTGGTCCCTGAAAAGCTGCCAAACATTATCTTTATCTGGTTGTTGCTATACCTATGCACCCTGTACTCCCCTAACTCCACCTTTTTTCACAAAAGGAAATGAAAAGTGGGAGCCTGTATAATTAATCTTCCACATTATGGTAAATGCCAAAGAAATTTTTAAAAAATCTCTTTTGCACTCTTGAAAATCAGGAATTTATAATTTAATTTGGCAATGTGCTTGGGATGTGGTAGATCCTTGAAAGACCATTTAAAATTTCCATGCACAAATCTGAAGGTAAAAATAATACGGAAAAAGTATACTGGACTCCCTCCTACTTCTCTGTAGTGCTGGAATCTGGCTCTAGTCATTAAGCTCTTTTAGGAATGCTACAAGGTGGCTCATAACTCTTTGGAAAGAAGGTTTCCTAGAGACTTAACCCTTCAGAGTTACTAAAAAGGGGAAATTAGAGGCAGAGTATACCGATTGGCCTCACCTCTATTACTGTTCTTTCTCTGGGGGAAAAACTGAGACAGAAGCAATTTCACAGTATGTGAATTTCCTTTGCCTAGACTTTGTTCCCTTTTTTATGTCATTCTTCCATTTGCAAGAGAAATTCCTTCAGGGGCTTCTTTCTTGGTCACAGAGATCGGCTAACCCTTGTAGGTCATTCCTGTGAACTTTCTGATTGCCTTGCTTGAACGTGTACTGTGTCCAACCTGTTCCATCACTGAGGCAGCAGTCCCAAATGCAGAATGAGGTGAGGTTCCCAGGGAGTCACCTACACAATCCTCTCAGCGATCAAGGACAGCTTCTTTCTGGAAGTGGTTTCATTTCCTGTTAGGTTACTTAGTGCTGCTGGGAGGTCAGGGAGAAGTTACTAACCCTCTAGATAAAGCCAAGACCCCAATTCTGTGCTGACAGATCCAGAAAATAACATCTAAGATACACGTTGGAGATACCACTGTTGCATTCCATCAGTTTGCCAAATTAAATCCTGCCCAAGAACATTTAAAGAGAAGAAATTTAGCTGAACTGATCACTAAGAATTAACAGAACTAATACACATGAGCTGGTTAACGTGTGTATGCATCAACTATCCTTACTGATCAGAGTTACTAAGTAGAGTTGAAGATCTCTGTGTGAGGGTGACTTTAATATTTTGTTAATTAAACGAGATTTTTTGGAGGTGGGGAGAAGTGAAGAAATCCATCTATGGGTTTGGAACTATTCAGTTTCCTTCTACTTTAAAGGAGAAATCACTGAGCAGCACAATGATGTTTAATTACAGCTCCAGCTCTGCTAATTACCATTTGGTCATATCTGCAATTACATTAAGCCATAGTACATAATAAGCAGCTCTCTGACACTCATCTAATAACCTAGGTGGCTTTACGGGACTTCACATTCTGTTACTCACTGGAACAAATATAGCTTCTTTTGTCACTCTCCAAGAGAGGATCCAAATCAGAAATTTTGCCACCTTTCCTATACACCTAGGTACAAGAGCAGGGACTGCCAGATGATGATGCCAACAGGAAACAGAAAGTAACAGGAATATAAAAAGTTAAGGTCATTAAATACCTTCACAACTTCAACAACAATAAAAGCAGGGCAATTGTCAGTCTCTGAAATGCTGAGAAGTACCACCAAGGATTCTAGTCTCACGGAATGGGGAGGTAAACAATAAAATAAAACAAAAACCTGGAAAGAGACTTAGAGAGAATGTAAAGATGGAAATCACTGAAGTTTCCCAACAGTTAAAATCCTTTATCTTTTAATGATACTTCTTTTCAATCTACTTTTAGATATTAGTCTTAATAGCACCTATCAGTCATCTGAGTGCTAACGGTCAGGTGACACAGAAATGAGACTAGAGAGAATAAAGAAAGGCCAGAGGCATTAATCTCTCCACAGAAGTAATTATACAATGACTTCAGCAGGCTCCCACAGGTGAGTCACTTAAGGAGGAAAAATTTCAAGACTACAACATAGTTTTGGGGATAGAAAATGCAGTGAAGAAGCCTTCCCCTCTTCACAAATATGAGTCTGTCTTCATCTTCACAATCAAAAGGCGTTAAGTAAGCTGGTTCTACTGATAACTGCAGTAGCTCTACGACTCCCTTTTACCCAAGAACAAAAAGTAATTGGGGATAAAAGTTAGATAAATGTTCAGAATTATTGGATAAGATGTAGAAAGTAGAATATCATTAAATATACTAAATACTGTATTAATATGTTCTTTCTTCAATAATTCCAAAGATTTTAAACATTTGGAGACTCAGTATCAGCAGTATTAACAGTAACATAAATTTTTGATTCACAAATATGTAAGTACTCCCCCTGCTGATGTATTATATAAACTTGATTTGCTCACAAAATTTTTATTGTGGGTAATTTAAGAGCTAGTATTTGTTTAAAATACCATTTATCAATTTATGTGATTTGTCTCTCAAATTAAAATACAGAGGAAAAACATCCTGTTATTTCAGCTGCCTCCTGTTGACTGGGATTTTGAGACAAAACAGATTTACTGTATCTTTTTCTTAATAATTAAGGATTATTTTTGCTTATTCTGAAAGATCAGTGTTTCCTTGTGAGAGGCTAGCAGGTTAATCACGGAATAACAGAGGAGGGAGAGAGAAATCTGGATTTTTCCTTTCCACAAAGCTCCTGTCAGATTGCAACAGAATATTCCCAATAAAACCCCCAAAACACAACATTTAACTATTAGCGAAAGAGGATATCAGTCCCTTTTCAAACACTAAGTACTCTTTGACCCTGCATCTCCCCAGAAAGGAAGGAAGGAATAAAGAAAAGGTGGGAGAAGACAAGTAGTGATTCTACAGCATCTTACTATGCTGATGAACAGTGAATGTAATGGGGATTGTGGGGAGGACTTGGTGAAGGGGGGAGCCTAGTAAACAATGTTCTACATGTAATTGTAGATTAATGATAACACACACACACACACACAAAAGGTGGGAGAGAAAGAAGAAGAGGCTACTGGTCTGCTGAACTTCAGATCTCATTTAGGCTGCTTTGGAAAAGAATTTGTAACTCTTGTTAATTTCCAAGATCTCCTGTAGCAGAAGACAAGGAGGAAAAGGAGGGAAAAAAAAGACACAGTAGCTTCTGTACAGCAAAGGACACCATCAAAAGAACAAAAGAGGAACCTACAGTATGGGAGAATATATTCATAAATGATTTATCCAGTAAGGGATTAATATCCAAAATATATAAAGAACTCATAGGACTCAACACTGAAAAAAAAATAACCAGGGTGGAGGACCCAAACAGACATTTCTCCAAAGAAATACAGATGGCCAACAGGCAAATGAAAAGATGCTCCACA